CCAACACTCTCCCATGGCATGATCTGAAGATCCAGGAGGGAGTGTGGAGGAAGAGGAAGGAGAGAGGTGTCTGCTTGAGGTGTGAGGGACAGCACTTCCTGAAGGACTGTCCCTACATGCCAAGCCCAGCTCAGTCAAAAAACTGAAGCTGAACCTGGAGACAACAGTTCCCTCCAGTGCTGCAACTGCATCTGCAGCTGCAGCAGCTTCAGTTGAGACTTCTTCCTTCCCATCCAGAGTGGGAGCTGCACGGGCAGCATCCTTTACCTATGAGGATCCTGACCCGGATCAGGAACTGGACCAGTCTGAGTGTCAGGCTCTTGCTGCTTTTTTCTTTCATTTGAAAGAACAAAAGCAGAACAAGTCTGATCTCATCCTGCTTCGGCCCGTGATCAACCATCGCAGGATCAAAGGGTTATTAGACTGTGGAGCCACTCGCAACTTCATGTCTCCCAGTGCAGTCCAAAAACTGCATCTGGGCCTGAAAGTGGTGCAGCTGCAGCAACCGCTGCAGGTCCGCATAGGGGACTCCACTGTTCTGACCATCAGGGAGAAGGTCAGGGGCATCCCTGTTACCTTCGACAGTGCGGGAGAATTCAGACATAGTCTGAACTTCTACATTTTCCCTGACCTCCCCTTTGACCTTGTGTTCTCTATGCAATGGCTGAGAGCAGTCAACCGAAGGATCGACTGGCAGATCCCCAAGGTTGAACTGCCAAACAGCAAGGGGGTATATCAGCCTTGTATGCTTGCAGCTGATTACCACCCTCAGACATCTTGCTTCTGCTTGAGAGCGAGAGAGTTTTATGCTCTCTCTCGCCAGTATGATCATGAGCGTCTGTTCATCGCTCTGGTCAAGCAGACAAACGTTCCCTCTACTCCCTGTCCTCCTGAGATACAACAGGTTGTGGACCAGTGTGCTGATCTGATGCAGGAGCCCTTTGGGTTACCCAACCGGCCAACCAAGCATCATATTGAGCTGCTGCCTGGGGCGGTTCCTCCCAAGGGCCGCATCTACAGGATGTCACCTGCTGAGTTTGAGGAGCTCAGGCGACAGCGTGAGACCCTGACCAGCAAGGGCTGGATCAGGCCCAACACTTCTGAATTCGGTGCCCCAGTCCTCTTTGTTCCAAAGGGGAGTGGCAAGTTCAGAATGTGCATTGACTACAGGGGTCTCGACAAGATCACTAGGAAGAGTACAGAGCCACTTCCTAGGATCGAGGACCTACTGGATATGGTCCAGGGCTGTACCATTTTCAGCAAAGTCGACCTCAAATCTGGCTACCACCAGATTGAGATGGCAGAGGAGGACGTCCACAAGACGGCCTTCAAAACCAGGTATGGTACTTATGAGTACCTGGTGATGCCGTTTGGACTTTGCAATGCACCTGGCACATTCCAGACTGAGATGCACCGCATCTTCAGGCCGTACCTGGATAAGTTTATGATTGTCTACCTGGATGATATCCTGGTATTCAGCAAAACTACCAGGGAACATGCGGAGCACCTAGCTCTAGTCCTTCAGTCGTTACGTGACAGCCAGTACAAGATCAACAGGGAGAAATCCTCTTTTGGAGTTCCCTCTGTTATCTACCTGGGTCATGTAATCTCTGGAGATGGTTTGGCCCCTGAAGCAGCCAAGGTTGCTGCTATTCAGGATTGGCCACAGCCTCAGACAGTGAGAGATGTCCGGTCACCTTTCTTTGGTCCCTTCACTGTCAGATGGCCTTTGCACGACTCAAACAGGCCTTGACTCGTGCACCTGTTCTGAAGTTGCCTGACCCCACTCTGCCATTTGTTCTCACCACTGACGCCAGTCAGTATGGCATTGGGGGCAGTCCTTCAGCAGGATGATGGTAATGGTCTGAGACCTGTAGAGTTTATGAGTAAGAAGATCGAAACTTATAACCTTCAGGACTCTACCTACAAGAAAGAGCTATATGCTCTTGTCAGTGCCCTGAAACATTGGAAGCACTTTCTCCTGGGCAGGCACTTCAAGATCTTTTCTGATCACTCCACCCTGCAGTGGTTGAAGTCCCAGAGAGAGTTGAATGATAAATTGGCACGCTACATCCAGTTCATTGATCTGTTTGACTTTGAATTGAAGCATAAGAAGGGCTGCTACAACAAGGTAGTAGACGCCCTCTCTCGTAGGCCTGACTCCTTTGCGTTGATCTCCTCTACTCACTCCTTTGGAGAGGAGGTCCGTCAGACCATCGCTCGTTTGCTGCCTCAGGATCCGACTTATGGACCCATCATCAGGAATCTGCGAGCAGATCCTAATTCTGAACCTGGCTATGCCCTGAGTTTAGATATGCTGTATACTTACAGCAGAGGAGAGGAGCGCTTGTGCATCCCTGAGGATCAGCAGTTGAGGATACTGCTGATGTCAGAGTGCCACGACGCGCGTGGACACTTTGGGTTCCTAAAGTCATATGCAGCCCTGTCGCAGCGCTTCTTCTGGAAGGAGATGCGGAGTGATATGCTGCGCTATGTGGACACCTGTGAGCTCTGCCAAAGGAACAAGGTTCAACGTAAACCTCCTTTGGGATTGCTCAAACCTTTGCGCATACCTGATGGTCCTCCCCAGTCTGTGTCTATTGATTTCACAGACTTAGGCAAGACTACCCCTCGTGGCATGCGTCAGGTCATGGTCTGCGTGGACAGGTTCTCCAAATACGCAGAGTTCATCCCCTTGCCAGAGGTAGCCAGGGTACCGGCTGTGAGAGCAGCCTTTTCTGAGTGGTGGGTCACACACCATGGACCGCCCACCTCTATTGTGAGTGATCGAGACCCTAGATTCTGCGGCGATGAGTGGCAGTCCTACTGCAAGGACTATCTGCACTCACGCTTGGACATGACTTCTGACCGTCATCGTGAAGCCAATGGGTTGGCTGAAGTGATGAACCAGGTCCTGTTCCAGTTGTTACGTCCTGTGATCTCTCCTGATCAGCAGGACTGGGATCTCCACTTGGCGAGGGCACAACTCATGTATAACATGTCTCTCCACTCCTCGACAGGGTTTAGTCCCTACCGGTTACATTGGGGACGTGAGCCACGACAGCCTCTCGATGATATCATCGACAAGTCTAAGCCTGACCTTACCCCAGGCATTGCTGAGTTCGTTAGACGCTATCGTCTGGATGTGGAAAGAGCCCGGGCGAACTTGTTCAAGGCCCAAAAGGCCATGATTGAACAAGCTAACCGCCACAGGCGGCCTTCCCCCATCCGTACGGGTGACTATGTCTGGGTGGCCAGTTCTGAGTTGTCGAGGGAGGAGGATATTTCTCCCAAGCTGTTGCCACGCTACCTGGGTCCGTGGCAGGTTCTAGATACAGTGGGCGCTGATCCTTTTGGCCCATCGTACGTCATTGACGTGCCCCTGCATCTACGAACCTATCCGGTCTTCCATGCATCTAAGCTGCTGCCTTTCATACCAGCTGATGCATTCTCGGACCGGCCCCCTCAATGGGGCCCACCAATCCCTGGAAAGGGATATGATGTGGTGGCCATTGAGGACGAGTGGGGCACTGGCCCCAACCAGTAGTATCTTGTCAGGTTTGCGTTCCAGCCTCCTTCTGAGAACCGGTGGTTCTATAGAAGAGACCTGATCAAGACAGCAAAGTCTGTAGTTCTGCGGTATGAGGCGTCTCAGAAGGGTGACCTTCGCCGCTCACCTCGTCTGCACCCCTAGCTCGGAGGTCCTCGCTCCCGGGGAGGGTAAGCCTGCAATGACTTGCTGATTTCTGTTGCCGAGTCTGTTTGCGAGGCTGTACACTAGTCGTAGGGTTAGATTCGCAATTTTGTTTGGCTGAGGGCTAACCGAGTGATTTGGCTGTTGGGAAATTCGCGAGGGACAGACCTGTAATTCTGAGGGACTACAGGCCATAAACTAACCAAATCCCTACTACTACCCTAACTGCCTATAGCAGGCCCGGGCTACCCTAGGACAGACAGGCCCTAAGCGGCCTATACTGGTATACGGTCCTATAGCCTATAGCCGGGTCCGGTAGAGGCCGAGAGGCCGAGAAACAGCAACGGTGCCGGTAGGTCCAGTCAGTCCAGTTTCGGTCTAGGCTAGTGTAGGAATCTATAAGGCTAGGAAGGAAATTGATAGGGGGACTTTTGGCTTTCATTTTTCGCATGCAGCGTTGGTGGCCAACCAAGTTGAGCAGCGCTGAATGTCTGCAGTGGCACCGGAGACATCARCCGTGAGTGGAGCAGCCATAGCCCGCCACCTGAGACAGCCATAGCTGGGGCTGTACTCAGCGCATCTATCCCCTGGGGGATATCTGCGTTGGCAGGACTATCTRGGAGGTCTTCAAAGAGTACATGTGGGTACTATTGCTGCGGTAGCAGCTAGGCAGCCATAGCTGCCTTCTTCATCGTCAGAGTGACTCCTCGGCACTGGAGASTACTTCGTTGTTCATGATCTGCATCTGGGTGGATGGCGCTGGCCTCTGGGAGGCTGATGTTGTGCAGCGCTAGACTYTGAGAGTGTAGTAGTGAGTGGAGTGTGTGGTACTTGAGTGGCGAGACAYTGGGTTAAACTCTGTAACGATTATTGGGGTTAACGGTGTTGAGTTGGCTCATCATCTGAGACACTTTCCGATTGTGATCTTCGCAGTTTCAATTGTGATTGGTTGTTGGGAGTTTATYAGAGAGAGAGAACACTGGGTGTGAATTCTCCCCATCTRTGCATGGTTGTTATTCCGYTGTTTATCTYTGGTGTGTGTGCAGGTGGACTCTGTCTCTTCCTCCCCACTGACTTGTGCATGCATGGGCATGTGTAAGTTCTGTTGTGTGTGAGTGGCAATTCAATTGTCAAACAACCAAGTTCATAACAGTTGGTATCAGAGCGGAGTTTGGAATTGGAGCTCAGAGGGTTGAGCGCAACAGGGGCACCTTCTTCATCTGGTTCTAACTGGCGAGAAGATCCATGGTGGTTCTCCATCTCCAGTGACTATCCAGCAGGGAAGAAGGGATACAAGCGGTGATTGCAGGAACATCAGTTGCGATTGATCAGGCACCCTGAGCCTGTATGTGTGCCTGACAGGAAGTGGCGAGAATAGGGTTATTTCGCCATCCACCCTCCTGACCGCAGTTGATGACTGGGTCTGAGGTGGCGAAATTTACCCTAGTCCAGTGATTACTGGGTGGCGGCTTCATTCCCAGGGTAGCGCTGAGGGAGGATGGATCGGAGGATCACCTCCTGCTAAATTAACCCTACTCAGGGCTAAATTTAGCACCAGCGGCTCATACCCTGCAGTGGCGAGATATCTTCAGGAGAGTTTTCTCCCGCCACTGAGGCAGAGTTAGTGTATCAGAGAGTTGGGGGTGAATCGCCTCATCATACTGGAGCAGATCAACAAGTTTCAGGAGATTTTGTACGTGGGAAGCTCTGGAAGACTGTCTGCAAGTACTGGCGAGACCAGGGTTTGGCAGCCATAGCCAAAGCTTCATCATCCACTGAGGGCTGTACTTCAAGTGAGTTCGTTCCATACGAATCCCTGAGTAGCGATTAGTATAGAATTAGTAAAGATAGGATTGATGGTCTGTCTGACAGTACTGCAACAATCGAGAAATTGTCAGACTGCAATACAGCCATATACATCTTCTTCCTCCCTACCCTGACTCATATCTCTTCATCTACTAACCTGTTCTGACTCCAAATTGTTCTGGGACTGCTTTACAGTATTGCGCTGCATCCTGTATGGTCATTCTGTGAATTCTGTATTGAAAAGACAGTGATACTGTAGATTTGAGTTTTGCGTTGAGCCTATTTATAGTCTAGGCTACCTAGGGTCAGTCACAACTTAAAATTTGACCGTCAAAATTCAAGTCTGTCAGTTTGGGGTGGATCGCAATTCTATTTTTAGCAACCCTGCTAAAGCGCTAGTCCAGAAACACTGTATTTGGGTCGTTACAGTACATTCCTGAAATTCGCCATATCTGGGGTAATTTTTGTTGATGTCAACACTGGTGAAATTTGAGTTTGGGGTTGTCAGGGAGTAGGCTACTAAATCGCTACTACCTGTTGCTGTGTTTCAGTCAATTCTTGCCTACCCTTATCAATACTACTAATCTACGCTGCTTTTTGATGGGGTCTGGAATACTAGTGACCCCTGGAATGTTGTGAAACTGCATGTTGCAACTTCAGTAAAAGTTCAGTGTCAGGTATAGGAAATCGTTAGTGAATGGTTTTACTGGACACCATGTCAACCTGATTACTGACCCCAGTGGTCCTGTTCCAACCCTAACTGCTTGTGCCCACTAACCCACATTGCTCTGTGAACTGACAGTGCAACGAAATTTGAGTTTCTGTGTGATCTGTAAATCGCTGCACCCCCTGCTGTTTCATTTTTGTTTTATTGTTGTCTGTGAGGGAAAATGTCTGACGCAGCTGACACAGGTGCAGGGAAGGTTGAGGTCGTGATTAAGGCTGAAGGGGAACCCTCAGCCACAACACCACCTCCCCCTCCTCTGACCCCTGCGCAGCGGCACAAGAGAGAGATCCAGGAAAAGCTGCGAGAGCAACTGGCGCTGCTCGCAGAAGCCGAGAGACAGGAGGCTGCTGAACTAGAAGCTGCAACAGATGCTTCCAGAAAAGAACATCTGCTGCAGCAGGCCCAGAGGACTGTTGCAGATACTAGAGTGGCCCAGTGTACAAGGGACCTGGCTGAGCT